GTCCTTGACGCCACCGTGCCGTATGAAAGTAATCTACCGAGTACGAATCACCATCGTTGTTGCAATTTGCCAACAAACCCAAAGCCTGTCTCGGCGAACTGACTGGCGCGTGCAATGGCAACAGACAGCTCATGAGCGCCAAGGCACACTTCACGATAGCCAAACGATACCGTCCACCAACTTGTTCATCTCGACGTATGTGCATACGCCACGCGTGTGCTTCCGATACGTCCGATTACGCGCCCGAAACAGCTCGTGACAAACCCGCGGGAAATCCGGACGGCAAATAACAAATCCGCGTCTCCGATCTCGCCATCGTGCAAAAGAAAGGACGTCACACACCGTTCTGTCAAACTCAGCAGCCGACGCGCGTATTCTCGCCAATAACGTTAGTACTCGTAAAGGAAGCAGAGAAGAATCTCAACAAGGCGAAGTGAAACTCGAGCCAAGCCGAGACTGCGTCTCTGGAGACGTGAAAAGGAAGAAAGAAGAAAAGACGAACACGATGCGGTTCAATCCGAAAAGTCTATTTTGCTAAGCATTTCTGTGACAGCAAGACAGTGCTTGGTATGTTCCAGTTGTGTGGGTTACAGAACCTTCATACGCGTCGGTGCGGGTGACGCGCATGGTGTTTCGGATCTTTGTGTGGATAGAGCAGTGACGTACTGCGATGACTGATGGCGAAAGATGTGAGGTGGTGAGACGAACTGCCAAAAGTCTAATTGAAAGCACTGCAATGACAAACAGAAAGGACAGAGTATGTAGCCGTGTTCTCGTCATTGTTATACATAATTCTACAAGATCGTTATAAGACCGTTTTTAGAGAAGACTTTGGGGATATTGTTTCACACTACTGGTATGTGTGCTTTCGTGCCTGAACGCCTTCTTTTTCAACGCTCTTCCTCAAACCAGAGTTTGCTTCTTTGTACATGGCGTCGAGAATCGTTCGTTGCCCTGCGATGGCTACTCGCATTTCCGCCTAACTCGTTCGCCTGGCGCTGGCGCATTGTCTCCTTGTATGAGATCGATTCGGGTTTACGCGGGAAGTAGGATCTCGGCCCAGCTGCTGTGCAAAAAGGTTACGCCAATCTACACGCGGTCATTAGCATTTGCCCTTGCCTCTGTTTTCCTTCTCTATCGTGCTCTATCCTTCGTCTGCAGTGTCGACAACCCAGGGCGACTTACAGCGAACATTCCCGCGGCAGTAACGATACTCCTGTTATCCTTGCTCGTAAAGGCTGAGATGGTGCTGGACGCGAAGCTGGGCTCGTTGAGGGTACGGCCCTTGCCTGTCATCTGCTTGGGTGGCATCGTTGCGGAGACGGGTGAGACGCTGCACAATCCGTCAGTCTCGAATAGTCTGGGTATTTATCTGCGGAGGGCGTACGGAGTTTGCGATCGTAGAATTGGGCTGTTGCGGGGTTGCTATCGATGCGCTTTGGACATTGGTGATGATGTTTTTTGGCTAAGAAGGGTCGAGCGTCATCGGTTGCTTATGTAAGGGTCCGTCTTTCAACAGTCCATCATGAGCCTTCCCTACGTCTTTCGTCTCATGGCACAACATGTCTGCGCAAGGTTTCTGAGATACGAGATATCACCGCATATATGTACAGGAAGTCGTCTTGAAAGATAGCATGGCATCGTACTATTACAAGTTATTCACAAGCACGGCTGAGCCTTCCTCCCAATCTACGCCTTCTACTACAGCCATGTCGTTTTCCAAGGCCTAACCCTCAGCCGCGCAATGAATACGTTGGATAACCCCGTGTGCAGAATCAGATATTCGCTATCCCAAAACGACCCGTGAAAGATTAGAACGCCGTGAATGCTGGTCTGAATGTCCCAAAAGTGAAACACAACAACGAAATGTGAAAAAATGGAAAGCATCCTGATGAAGAGTTGCTACCATCAATATTCCCAGCGTCAAGCTGAGATGAAGGCTGGACAGCCTATTCCTTCTTGCTTGCCAGGATACTGTATTGACCACCGCAACCAGCCCATGTAAGCTTCGTCTCACGTACAGCGGTGTTGTCGATCAAGGTAGGGACCTCAATGTCGTCGTCGGTACCCTGACCCGTTTGGAAGTTGACCGAGAAACCCCACGAGTAAGCCTTGCCGTCCTTGTCAACGACGATGGAGTGATCAGGACCGCATGCACCAGCGACAATGTTCTTGAGGTCGGGAAGCGGTGTCGGCTGCACGACGATCTTCGCCTTGCCGTTGTTCTTGAGAACCTTGTGCTCATCCGTCTCTGCATCAAGCTGGGACGGAGGAAGACCAGTCTGTGAGCCGTCGCAGCGACCCCAGACTAGCACCTGTCCATCCTTGGTGATGGCCAAGTTGTGATGCGAGCCTCCTGCCAATGATTGGACGCCCTTGCCTTCCAAACTGTGTATGATCTTGGGTTGGAGAACGCTAGCATCATCTGCACCAGCATTCTTGGTGTAACCAGTCTCACAGTAGTTGTTCGCACCCCAGCCCCAGACGTGCCCATCTTCTGCGATGGCAAGACCGTGGTAGTCGCCGGATGCGATGTGTGTTATGCGTTGGCTGTGCTTCTTGATGGAAGAGTCGTGGAAACCAATCTTGTTGGGCTGCAAACCTTGGATGAGATTGCGCTCAGTGACACGGCGTCCAAGCTGGTTTTGCTGGCCGTTGCCCCAAGCATATACGTGGTGGTCCTTGTCCAGGGCGTAGACGTGGTTGGTACCACACACGAGCTGAATGACCTTCTTTATGCTGTCGATGTAGACGGGTCGAGGCGCTGTATGATTGTCGCGTTCGAAACCCATGATACCTTCGTTCTTTCGGAATGTGCCCCATCCATAGACCGCGCCCTCAGTAGTAAGTGCGAAAGAGCAGCTATCGCCGGCAGCGACGTCGACAAAGGTGGTGTCTTCAGGGAAGAACTCGGATGGTACGGGCGTTGGTGTGGCCTCAGCGTCGTTCAAGCCGCCGGTCTCATCCTCAGAGTCGGAGTCAGAGTCGTCCGCGTCTAGATCACGCATCTTGACGGGTGCGTTCGACGTGTCGCGTCCAAGGGCATTGTTGTCGTTGACACCCCATGTCAGGATTTTGTTGTCTTTTGTGAGTGCGACAACGTGCATGCCGCCAGTAGCAATCTTGACAACGTTCAAGTTGGACAGAGGCTCGTTGTAGCGCGGCCGCTTCACGTCGATGGCCTTGCTTGTGGCGCCGAAGCCGAGCTCGCCAGAAGAGCCTTCACCAAAGACAAAAACCTTCAGAGGTTCCGTGTAGCGGATCTCGTTGATCTCAGTCTTCTTGCCCTTGTTGCGACGCGGGCCCTTGGGGTTCGGGATCAGAGCCGGATCGACCTTCGCGGCTTCGGGCTCTGGCGTTGCGGTCTTTGACGCGGCTTTCGGGGCGGCTTTCGCTGCTGCTTTCGGGGCAGTCTTGGGGGCAGCTTTCGCTACCTTGGGCTTCTTCACGGCGGGAGCAGGCGCGTCTTCGACCTCCGGTTCGCTTTCATCGTCCTTCTTGCGCTTGGTCGTCTTCTTAGGCGCGGCCGCGGGTTCAGGTGCAGGAGTCTCTGTCTTCTTTGCGCGACTGCGTCCAGCAGCTGCTGTCTTCTTAGCGGTTGACCTTATTTCGGACGCGTTGAGCTTACGCTTCGGTGGAGCTGCCTCAACTTCGTTGGTGTCTTCGTCGGCCATCTCGACGTCCTCAGTTTCCTCGGCTTCCTCAGCTATGCCGTTGGCGACAGGCGCGTCTTCGGCTTTCTTCGCGCCTCTTCGTGGGACTGCGAGGTTTGTCAGCGATAGCATGGTTACTGTGGGTGGACGTGACGTACGGGTGCCGTTCACCTTGACATCTTTGGCGTCTTTCTTCTCAGCGGGCTTTGCGCTCGCAGAACGGGAAGCTCTAGCCATTGCGCGCGACACAAACGAGAGTTGGCGACACGAACGAAGGTTGATGCGCGTAAAAGTGTTTGGATTGGAAGTTGTTGTGAGGTGGCTGGTGTTGTCGTGTACATAGAAAAATGTTGAACTGCATTTAGCAAGGCTGGCGCTAGACTTCACATGGACCAGCTCGCTGCAGCCACGGCCCGTCAACCATTCACCGCGTACGTCACTGCCTGATTGGCTACCTAGGCAGCCTGGCTACCATCGACTGACTGACCGTCCGACACTCGTTCGTAACATTTAATATCACATGTCTCGTTACCACTGCAAGCCTTTTGCTGTTTTGTCTCCTGTTTTCAGCACGTCACTGTGTCGATCCTCGGTGTCGGCGACCTTCACTCGTGGCCGTCTTATGAACCACGGCTGACCGAGAAGCTGTACCGCTCACACGTACGTTGTTCTTATGTAATCTACACAGTGTGGATATCCAGAATGGGTCTGGTTCATGCTATACGGAAATGGTTGCTGAGCTTACACACTTCAAGACAAGGGGATGTCGGCCACCCCACAGCATGCAGCTAGAGCTCAAAGAAGATTCTGCGATATATGATGTCTATGTTGAAAATTTGTCATCGAATCAGTCAGCGTGGCCGAGGTAAGCATTTCTCCCAGCTCCTGACATCTTCCCATCTAACATCCGATAGTGGTTATGGCGTGTGACTCAAGCGAAAGCTTGTCTTCTCCGGAAGACGCACTCTCAAGAGGTTTCTCATAGGGCAACCTGCGTGGGTTCGAATCCCACCGCTGACATTATCTTTTTGCACGTTTTTGCAGCTTGCTGGCGTCGTCGCGGGCGGCGGATGCATCATGCCTTACCTTTTGGTGCTACTACTAAAAGCGGGCCCGGGTGGCTGGCTATCGACTCACTGACCGCAACATCCAACATCACCTGTTCATCACCGCTGCAACCACTTTGCTGCTTTCGTTTCGCTTCCTGCTCCTGCGCGTTCCATCTCGACCTTTGTCTTTTCCAAGGTTGTCATCAGACTACGTTCCAGCATCGCCAGTACCTTGATGGTTGCTTGAGACAACCTCATTTGCGACGGGGACGGGTAGTACAGCGCCATGTCTTTCACCATGTTTCACAAATCCCTTGTTGTTTTTGCCCTTCTCAAAGCGGCATCCTGTGTGCAACCTGAAGCGCCGCGTCCTAAAGCGGCTCCTCTGCGCGACCTACCGTGGGCACAGCTCAACTTCCTGCATACTACCGATGTGCATGGGTGGTGGGGCGGCCATCTCCAAGAGGCGTCTTTCTCTTCTGATTGGGGCGACTATGTCTCTTTTGCAAAGCACATGCGTGAGAAAGCAGATGCGGATGGCTCAGACTTGCTGCTCATCGATACTGGAGACCGTGTTGGTGAGTTGGGTGTAAAGATGCGTATGATATGTATACTAATCTCATGTTTCCCCCTGCAGAAGGAAACGCCATCTACGACTCCTCAAAGCCTCGTGGAAAGTTAGTACTCCCTTCAAAATGCAGGTGAGATGAGTACTGACTTCCCACACCAACATCTAGGTTTACCTACGAGATCGCCAAAGAACAGAACATCGATCTGATATGCTCAGGCAACCATGAGTTGTACAAAGCAAACACTGCTGAGGGCGAATACTTCCACACGGTTCCCGACTTCAAAGGAAACTACTTGGCCTCCAATCTAGACATCTACAACCCCGAGACTGGGAAGCGGGAGCCACTCGCACCCCGCTTCAAAAGATTCACTACTAAAAACCAAGGTATACGCATCCTGGCCTTCGGATTCCTATTCGATTTCACGGGCAACGCAAACAACACTGTCGTTCAGAGGGTTGAGGACACAGTGCACGAGGAGTGGTTCACAGAAGCCCTTAAAAGCCAGGACATCGACTTGATCATCGTCTTTGGCCATGTTGACATCCGTTCCGAAGAATATGCGCTTTTGTTCTCTACTATACGGTCGATGCATTGGGATACGCCCATCCAGTTCTTCGGAGGTCATAGCCACATCCGCGACTACAAGATCTTTGATAACAAAGCTGTCGCTCTTGAAAGTGGGCGATATATGGAGACGCTCGGCTTCATGTCTATTGACGGTCTCAGTACTGGCGGTACCAAAGACGCAACGCCTCTAGCTCAGAGTCCAAAGCTCACCTTCTCCCGTCGATACATTGACAACAATCTTTATTCGCTGCGTCACCACAGCGGAAAAGACGCCAAAGAGTTCGCGACCGATCACGGTAAGAAGGTCTCCAAGGCGATTGGTGATGCCAGAGCGTCTCTTGGGCTGGGCAAAGTATACGGCTGTGCTCCACAAGATCTTTGGATCAGCCGTCGCCCATACCCGCACAACGAGAGTATCTTTACCTGGATCGAGGAGCAACTGCTGCCGCAGACTATTGAAAAGTCTGATGGCATCCAGGGTGGAAAGAAGGCATTTGTGATTACCAACACTGGCGCTATCCGCTTTGACATCTTCAAGGGAGCTTTCACCAAGGACACAAAGTTCCTGGTCTCTCCGTTCACCAGTGGGATCCGATACATCAAGGATGTACCTTACAAGGCCGCTAGTCAGGTGCTCAAATTACTAAACAATGAGGGTCCCATTATGTTGGCCATGATGGAGAGCAATGCATTCCTGCAGCCACCAGAGGTTTCGGCAGCGCGGTCTCGACCACATCTGCTTACATCTGACTTCGCCTTCGCTAAACTCCCCGAAGGCCAGGCACCTCTCCATGGCATCGATGGGCCACAACCGTTCCCAGGTTACACCACCAAGGACGATGCTGGGGCAGACGGCGATGATACGATCCACGAGCCCATCGCTTTCTACAATGTTCCGAACTGTATTCAGTCAGCTGTCGGTTTCGACCAATCAGAGACAGACGTGGAGCCAGAGACCATTGATCTCATGTATAATCAGTTTATTGAGAAATGGATATTGCTGGCGCTCGAGTACCTGGGGGCAAAAAGAGGGCTGGAGGATACTGAGGCGTTTGACAACGAGAAGAGCTTTACAGATATTATGACCGAGTGGGTGGAGGAGCACTGGGGCAGTGAGGGTAAGAAGTGTGAGGAATGATCAGAAGTGAGGCTCTGTTATCGGTCCAAGTGGTAGATGTTGAGACTGCGCGTTTTGTACATATGCCCTACGCGTCGACCAAATTCCAAGACGGGCCCGCGGCTCTCACTATACTCAAGCACTGCCTGATCTCACAAACCTCCAGATTGTGGGTGAAATGAGATCTAGTGCAACCCAATATGCTTTCGCCCGAATAACGCCTTGCCATGATAAAGTATGCCTTCCCAAACTCCAGATTCTCTGTTCGTATTGTCCTTTGACTATCGTCCGCCGCGAGCGGCGCGGGCTTGTTCTCGTTCGCTGGCGTTGTACCTGTGATAAGTGTCAGCCCCTGTCCGGGACGTAATCACCGCAATCGCCTCTTCTCCTCTTCCTTCTGGCGACGCAACACCTTGTCGGCATCGGCAGCGGGCACGTACTTGAGGAGCTTTTCGATCAGATCGACGTGGGTGAGAATCATGCGGCGGCAGCAGTAGCGTTGAAGACCGATCTCGTCGAGGGCCTCACTAGATGGAAGACGTATTAGTGAAGGTCTTGCTGCTATATAAGACTTGGAGTAGCAAAAGGTGGTCGGCTTTGGTTAGAGGGCAGGCGCGCGCGCGAATACAATCCCGAAAAGGCTTCTTACGCTTCTTCCTTTCCTTCGCTAAGGATGGTCATGTACTTCTCCCATAGGTCGCCGGTGACCTGAACATTGTGAGTGGGTGCGCGCATGAGCTGGAGAGTATGCCTATTACCTTTCCGCAAGAAAAGCAACGGATAGGAACAATCATCTTGGGGTTTCCGGAGTTTCGGTGTGATGTGAGAGATTATGCGACGACAGCCCAGTAGCTATGAGAGCGCGTAAAGTTAAGGTGAGGTTCTCGCGGTGTTGGACGTGGTGGACGCCAAAGAAAGTTGCGGGCGCGCTAGCGACGCGGGCGGTGAAAAGCTTGGGCCAAGGTCCATCAAAAAAGTTCGAAGCCTTCGACATGTCGGCTCCAGACACTCTACGACAGTCGCCCACATTCGTGGTTTCTCACGCCAACACCACCAAGAATCAGCCAGTATGGCGGATGCGACTCCACAACTGAAGAGGAAGGCCGAGGAAGCTGCGGCGCAGAAGAAGGCCAAGAAGCAGAGAAAGAGCGATGCCGCCGCGCAACTTGACGGTCGCAACGGCGAACCTGTAAACGGCGCGACCAATGCAGTACCCAAATCCACGAGCACGCCTACGCCAAAGAAGCAATCGGCTGTAACCCCGATAACGAACGGCGCGATCCAAGATGCGACGACCGACACCCCAACGAAGCCGGCTGAAGTCAATGGCAAGCTCGCCAAGTCAGGACTATCCAAGTCTGCGCTGAAAAAGAAGGACAAGAAGGAGCGAAAGGAAAAGAACAGACAAGACCGCGATGGAATTACGGAGGCTGAAGTGACAGGCACCGCGACAGAAGCCATAGTAAAGAAGAGAAAGAACAAGAAGACAGAGAGATGGATTTCCTCACGAGTTCAAGGTGGATGGTTCATACCAGCCGATCCTGTCTTCTCTCCCGACGAAAAGTATCTGATAATAGCCGACTCCAATTCGCTACGCGTATATGCCACCGAAACCTCGTTGCTTGTCAACACGCTCTCCCAAGACGACACAGGAAACCTCACAACGTATGCCCTATCACCCGCGAACCCTCACCTCGTGTACGCCGCGTACTCGAACGGGCATATAATACTGTGGAACTGGGTGGCTGGCAAGACGGCTGGCCGTTGGAACATTGGTGCTACAGTCCAGCACATGACGGTCATTTCCCCACCTGGGTCTGATTCCAAGGCCAAGGCCGACGATGACCTCGTATACTGTCATGATGTTGATGAAGGCCGCCATACCATCAGTGTGCGCGTCCTTCGTACTCGGCGCCAAGAATCCCGGGAACTGAAGGAAGTCAAGCAAGTGCTGGGTGCAAGCTCTGCGATCCGCGGTCTCCAGGTGCTTTTACAAGGCAAATATGTTGTAGCTGCTACAACTGACTCTATCGTCGTTGGAAAGCGCGCAAAGGCCAGCAAGACGGCTCTTGAGGACTTTGAGTATGTTTGGCGCGAGTTCAAGTTCTCGAAGCAGATCACCACGTTCAGCGTTTACCACCGCGAGCAACAAGACAACGGCAACCAAAGAGATGTACTGGACATTGCTGTTGGTGAGGAGACTGGCGTGATTCTTCTCTTTGAAGACATTCTGGCCTCATTTGCTGCGATTGAGAAGAGCAACAAGGAAGGAGCGGACAACGCCGCGAGCTTCAGGCCCAAGAGACTCCATTGGCACAGGGACGCGGTAGGGTCTGTCAAGTGGTCTTTGGACGGCAACTACATCATCTCAGGTGGCGACGAGACTGTCCTTACGATATGGCAGCTTGCCACAGGACAACCTCAACACCTACCTCATCTTTCTGCAGCTATTGAGAATGTTGTAGTATCTCCTACTGGTTCAGCCTATGCATTGACACTGGCCAACAACTCCGTCATCGTTCTTTCTACCACCGAGCTCGAGGCCCGCACGAACATCATCGGCATCCAATCGCGTCGAATCGACTTCGAACAACAGCCTAAGGACACCAAGTCTGGCAAGTATCATGGCCTCTTTGATGCGGTACCCATGGCTGTAAATCCAGCCAATCCAGCCGAAGTCTTCTTTTCCGTACCTTCATCACAACCTCGTCGGAAGGAAGGTCTTAAGCCTGAGCCATACTTACAGACTTATGATATCGCGAACGAACGTGCTAAAGGGCGCCAGGCACTCACTCGCAACAACGCGACTGAACCAAATGTCGCGCCAGATGGAGGTCAGATCAAAGAACCCACAGTCATGCACATTCAAGTCAGCCACGATGGAGAATGGCTTGCCACAATCGATGAGGTAAGTTCTAACTGCACAAGACGCATTTGACACACACACTGACTTCTACTCCTTTCGCAGTGGGTTCCGCCACAATCAGATGCTCGCTATCTGAATGAAGGCATTCCAGAATTCAACGAGCAAGAACGTCTAAATCGTCGTGAAGTCTACCTCAAGATCTGGCGACGCGACAAGACCAGTGCGCAATGGAAGCTGGAAACTCGCATCGACGCTCCACACTTCTTCGAGGACGTATGCGGCAACGGACGAGTTTTCCATCTTGTCGCTGATCCTGCTGCTCCGGGCTTCGCGACTGTTGGTGAAGACCATGTCGTACGGATCTGGAGGCCCAAGACACGATCACGCGACGGAGTCATCGTTCGTGGGGCTCAACAGGAAGGTCTAGTCACCTGGTCACTCGATCGAGCAGTTGAGATCAATGACAAGCTCGACATTACCGAAGGCTCGCAACAATCTTTACCACCGCGCACTTCCCGACTAGCCTTCTCATCCGATGGCTCCGTCCTTGCTGTCTCAATCTCTTGGGATTTGGATGAAGATGCTGGTGTCACGCACCTGATCGACACTCACTCTGCAACCATTCGACGATCACTTACAGAGATCGATGTCACAGCTCTTTCTGGCCTTGGATTTGTTGGACAACATCTGGTAGTGGTTGCTGATGCGATCACTGTCTGGGACATGGTTTCGGACGCACTCGCGTACAGTGCCCCGATAGAAACCCCTGGCATCGGACGGCTGGAGCGCGTACCGCTCGTTCGACTAGCTTGCAACGAAGTCGATGGTACATTCGCCGTCTCACTTCCTCAATTCGAGAAGAGGACTTCGTCGAGGATCTCCATCCACAGTCCAGAGCACCAGAAGGCAATTTGGAAAGATACATGTTTCAGCATCACGCTCGGACTCGCGTCCCGAACAAGCGGTGGCTACGTTGTTCTTGACTCTAGATCGTACTTCAGGACAATCACTCCTAGCGCTGGATCGTTACAGCTGCCGACTCCCCCGCCAGAGGAACACGTCGGCAGGCGGTCCATCGCCTACCCAGTAGACGAAGAAGAAGAGGCCGGTAGACCTTTGGCGAACTTCTTGGTTTCTGGAGATCTTACTCAAGACATTGAGCGCGACGAGCATGTTTTCAATATGCAGGATCTGCAGAATGTGCTGCATGACGGCTCAGTCCCTCCGCCACCGCAGGGTCTGTTCGATAACATTTTGGCGCTGATTGGCGGGAAGCCGCAAAAGGCAGCAGCATAGGAGCTGTATTGCTGTACTATAGTCTTGATAAAATACCACGACATTGAGATGCGTTTGTTCATGCCGAGTGTACTGATGCGTTCGGTGCAGCTAGCACATAATCATGAGGACGAGGCCCGTCGGATAGGTGCACGAAGAGTCGTGACACTGCATGAGAAAGCAGAATGACTTTGGTAGCAAACTTTGACTACACATTTTCTCTTCTTTTCCCAAAAGCTGTACCTAAATACGCATGCCTCTTCCACCTTCGACTAGCCAGCGCCCCTGAGCGTGGCCGCAGCCGCGCTCGCCTCACCGCCACACCTCCATGCTTCCGACTGCCGCTTTCATCCTTTCCCTCTGCGTAGCACACCATTCTTGAGTCCAGTTGTTTCGACGGTATTGCCGAGCACCATGGAGCCTACGCGAACCTGTTTTGTCTAAAAAAAAAATCGATTGCTGACTACTCTAGGGGTACGCAAAAACAAATCGGAGGATGCATCACGATGTACCAGGCATTGCAAACCTCAAAAACAATGAGGGTTGCCCGTTCACGGAATCGAACCGTGGATCTTCGCATATCGAACATATGCTGCGTTACGAGTGCGACGCAGTACCACTGTGCTAAACGGGCGGATGTGGTTGACGAAATTGAAAATTACAAAAAATATAACCATACGTTTGTGAGTTTAGAGGATGTGCCAGGTGGCTGAATGCATCAGCTGCGAACGATTTGATGGTGGGGCAATGCCGCAGCGGGGTTACGTATCTTTCAAGCAAGCTCGGTTGGGGGTTCCGCTGCTAATGCTGGTCTGGGTATGGCGTCTCGAGCATTGCAACACGACCTCGGAAATCAACCATTGAATCAATCGAAACCTTC